CGTTCGTACTGCAGCGCGAGCTCCTTCGACTATTGCTGCCCGCGTGCCGGCATTTTTCACTACGATCCATTCCACCTATAATTTTCATTAAAGTGAGCATATTTTTTATCATTTTCTTCATTTGAGGAAAAGCCATATTATTCGAAATAACGACTAATATGTAAAGATTTAATAAATTTAATAAATTTTATATTTATTAAAATTTAGAAAAATGAAAGAAATATATGTTACACGTTTTTATAAATTTTTTCTGAATGCAATATTTAGCAATATAAGAATGCGGAATTTAGTAATATAATATAATTTTATTATAATTTTCAAAATAAAACATTTTATCAAAATTAATGATTCTCTGAAAAAAAGAAAAGACGTAAAATAATTTTAAATATTTCCAGCAATATTAATCATGCGTTAGTCAGAAAGCAAAGCTACCCAATTATTTTAAACTTTCGGATAACATCGGGGAAACATTTTAGTATAAACTTTCAAAATCTATCAATAAGGATACTTACTTGTTAATGGTGTGTGAACTTCGACTTTGATGTTCGCCGTTGCAGTAACCTTAGTGGTGATGTGTGAGGTGGACGGAATCGGCGATGTTCGACTAGACCCACTCGTATCCGATCCGCTACAATTCTGTTAGTCAAAATGAAAAAAACACGCTCGTTAGTCATGCTCAGAAAGGTGTCATCGATTCATTCGATAAAATACGTTCCCATGCTGATCTATAATCAATCGATTGCGAGTATCAACATACCTGATTGCCGCAAGTAGATGTAGTCTCCACCTTGAGTTCTGGTTGAACAATAATACAGGACTCCTGAGTACTATGCCACGAGTTAGGCTCCTCGCTAATAGTCGTGAGCGATGGCTCCGCGTGCAACCGGGCATTTTCGATTTTATGTGATCTTCTCGGTGGTGTAGGTGGTTTAGATCTTCTTACGACGGGTGACGCCGGCGGCGTCGGCGTGGATATGCGATCCGGATGATCGTTCGGAATCACTTCCGCTGATGGACCGATTAGAGATAACAGAATGGGAAAAAAGAAGATACCGTTCACAAGACTGATGCCGATCACGCAGAGCAGTACAAAGAAGAAATAATTAACTATGAAATTGAACTCCGAGAAGGCAAGCATCACGACAGCGAGCAGCGTGGTGAGCGCTCCGTGAATAACTGGAGCGTACATATGTTCTAGAGCTAAGCGCATTCTACGATCTCTGCTGCCCACACTAGTGACAAAACTCTAAAAAAAAATTATATGTTAACGAAAATATATATAAAATTAGAGCATCTCAATAGAAAATGTCCCGGCAGAAAAATCAAAAATCAAAGGACAAATATTGATATGCAAATACATGGATAACATCTTATGCATTCAATAACGATAAATAATTAATAATTGCAAAAAAATATTTTAATTTTTTTAATCTTTAAAATAATTTTATTTTTATATAAATTCAATATGTGCAGAACGATAAACAAAAATATTACATTAAAACGTTTAAAAATTTTTTTTTTAAATTACTTACCAGGCAGATGTGCACCGTGAAGTGAACAGCTATGCCCACACTAACCACTAACAGTACGGCAGGTACTGCGCTCAATTTGATATCGAACAAGCCCATAATGCCCAGTAATTGCAAAATAACAGCGGCAAGAGAGATGCCAACCAGCAGTGCGGCCCACATATTCAACAGTAATAATCCGACCACAACAATACTGACGCCCCATGCGGCTAATAAGGCGATAATTAAGGTACTTCTCAGATCCATATATTGTTCCCAGAAGAGAAACAGTATGCCGGATGGGAAATTCGGCAAGCCGCGTTCTTCAAATCTTTTGCATAATTTTCTTACACTACCGATCAACTCCGTGATATCCTGCGTATCTGTGAGCCTGTGTAAATAAAACGGCATCTGTGCGTACGTGAGTGGCATACTCTTCGGGATTTTGAGCTCGTGATCGCTAATGTAGATCCATTGGCGCGGCTCAGGTCTCAGATTCGCCTGTGAAGCACCATAAGCAAGCGCGTCGTTGGATGCCCATGCGCTCAGGTAATTGTAGAAAGCGCGTGGATTGATAATGCCCTCCGAATCAACCAGTCGTACCTGAGTAATCAACGTCTTATCGATTGGATTATCCACATAACCGGTCTGTACGAGCAATTTGTATGCCAAAATCGCCTCATCGCTCGCATTTGGGAACCATCTCTCCTGCGTGATGCAGCCGGTTTCGTAATCCTTGTCGAATGCCGTCTGTAGGCCTTTCAACCAATCGCGAAACAGACCGAGCCAGAATTCGGGCAAACCGCCGTTGTCATTTTTGATGACATTCTTGATCCGCATGAAAGCATCATGGTACTCATACAATAGTCGTTGATTATTTGGATATTCGAAATCTCGTCCAGTGACCGCGTACATGTTATAAAAACCGAAATGTTTCGCCTGGGCGGATAGGAATGCGTGCTCGTTCGAGTTTTGCGGCACCAAATCAGTCAGATCCAATCCTTCACGTAGACGCATCGTTTCCCATACGCTCCCGGCTAATATGATAACCAGGATTATTATACCAAACACTTTGGTAGCCGGTCGGCTGATGAAAGGTGCGTAATGCCGAGCCGCAAGTTGCGTCAAAGAGAAGCTCAGACAGTCATCTTGCGAACAGCCAGTCAGCGTGTCCTCCTCGGTGCAGTGTTTATCTAACTCCGCATCGATGATGTTTCCACCTATCTGCAGCAAAGAGAGGATACTTGTAGATGATTCTGTATTCAACTGAATTTCAATTGAATGTAAATATGTAGAAAATAATTATAATTATTTTCATATTGCTTTAGCTCATTATAAAAGCAAATTCTTCTTGATTTTCATTTTTCGATCATTTTATTATAATCAAACAACCGTTTATCAAAATAAATTTTTTTCAATCGTTAATAAATCAAATATTGAAATGTAATATTACGATATAAGTTTAAAGAATTCAATATATGCACTATATAAGATGCACATAAATTATTTCATACCCAGGATTCATTTTGCGTATTCTGTGGTGTTAAAATCTGTGTGCAGGTTTCTCGTCTCTCAGGTGGTATCGCCCTGGTGACTGTTTGTTTGACCGTGCCGTTTTTCGCGTACCTATTCCTTCCGAGATTCGATGACGCTGGCAGACAACAACAGAGAATGTCCTTCCTACCGGAACGTCTGCGTCGAAGATCCAAACTGACCATTGCAGGGAATATCAGTAGCATGGCAGCTAGATTGAACAGCAATAAAATACCGGCTTGAAAGCAAAACGTTCGGAGGGCCGGGATCGGGATTATCGCTGCTGCGAAAAAGGCGGAAACATTGCTGAGGCCTGTCAGTAACACCGAAAGACCGGTCCGCTTGAGAACGACTCCCGTTTGTTCGCCACTGGGTACTTCGTTTACGGATAGTTCGGCGTACGTATGCGTCAATAGAAACATGTCATGTACGCCAAGACCAAGAGCGAGAAACGGTACTATTTGCGTCGTGGTAGCATTAAACGGAATTCCCAGAAGCGCGCAGAAGCCCAGTCCCGCGGCCACTGTGGCACAAATTAGCATCACACCAGCTATTCCTACTCCAGACTGCGAACGTACCGGATCCTTCCAACGAAAGAGGGCTATACCGGCATACAGCAACTGAAAGAATAAGAACTGAATGAATAAAATAGATAAAACAAAATATATAATGCATTTAACATGAACATATATTAGCATTATCATCTCATTTCAAACAATTATACATAATTAGTCAATTATATTGGAGTTTTTTCTAACCATAAGTGCGCAACTGATTGCAATCTTCATGACGGACACTTCGCTATATTTCCCAAGAATGTCATTCATGGTTGTTGTACTGAAAGCGTAAAGATTGTATGGCGCCGACCCGTTGACCTCCACCAGCTTCTTAACTTCGTTACTGAATACTCTTTGCCAGGCCTCGAGAACCTTAGCCGCCTTTTCCTGTGACCAATCGATGTGATGGACCCTGTAGGTGTTCACCAGGAAATCGTACAGCTCTCTTTCACCCATTAGCTGTACCACAGTTTGTAACGCGGCTGCGCGAGTCAAGTGACCCGTCTTGTTATGTTTGGCGCCGCCAACCACCAGCTCCTCCGGCCAATGCATATATTTCGCCGCAAATCCATAACAACCACCTGTTAATTCGGCTCCCACATCAGGTTCCTGTTGCAGAAAGCATTAACGTTTGAGGGACTGATAGAAAGTTGAACGAAATTATAATATTGAGATGTATATAGAGAAACAAATCAACTTCAGAAAATGATTCTCAAATTAATACACAGTCATTTTTTTTTATAAAAATAAATCTTCACTCGGTTAAATTAGAAATAAATAAAAGTGATTTTATTTTTAACAGGCGCGACAACCAATTGCGCTGCTCTACCAATTCGGCATGAATCGTTTTCTGATCGTTAATCTAATTTTAAAATACGACAATGATAATAATTAATATAAATAAAAACGATAATTAAAATTTAAATTCCCGTGATTTTTTTTTTTTACAAGCGGTAGCTGTCTTGAGCGTAAGGGAGACTAGACCAGAAACGTGTTTCTTTTCCTATCTGCCACCTCAAGCCCTTCCGCAACATTTTGTTTTTCATCTATGAATTTCTCAAGCGTGACCGAAGGCAGAACCGTGTCAAGTCACGCCAGGAATTTCTACGACAAAGAATTATTACACAGAGGGTTCGAGCTACGTTCTTTCTTATAGGGTAGCCGGGGGTGTCGTGGACCCCACACCGAGTGACTTTATAGGGTCTTATAAAAGGACATACCAGCCGTGACTTTAGACGATCAAGCTGCCTTGTCCACTATATCATCGCAAGAACAGATGAGCATCCACCACAACGTGGTGGTACAAGGAATAAAACCTCAACCACGAAATTATTACTATATCCGGGCGTATCTCGAGCAAAACTTTCCTTGCCTTGTATAGAAATACGAACGAAAGACGCGCCCCTGGCTTCTTTTGAACTATGGACCCTTTCAACTTCAAGTCGATGTTTTCTTTACAAAAATATCGAGGCTCGAATTATACGCGATGGAAAATGAAAAACTTTCTTTCTGAAATTCCCAAGAAATAAATAAAAAAAAAATCATATTTTTCAATTAATCTCAGGTTCGATCTTTCGTAGGATTTTGATGGAAGATAGATAAAAAATATAAAAGAGAATTCATAAAATTAAAGATTAAGAGATTTGTAGGAGATATAATCTTTATCGACTTGCTTTATGTATACTCTCTAAATCTCGTAGAGTAAAAATCAACTACTCGAACTATTCGAATTCAATATTTGCCCTTTTCTGGCTGTAGATTATTCGAATAGATTAAACATACAATATGTTCAAATCTGTTCTGAGTTTCCCTAATACGTAGGATTTTATTTCTTCATTCATTAATTAAATCCAATTGATTGAAGTTAGTATGAGTACACAGTCGTCTTAATTGAATTAGAAGCACGTCATTAAGTCATTAATTCCGCTGCATCGCGGAAGTGCACGGACGAAGTACATAGGAAAGACATACCAAATAAAGCCACGTCGTAATCGTCGGCGATTGCACGTGTGATTGAAATCGATTACCTCACACCCGGCCGGCATTATGTAATTCCGCGAAGAAGAAGCGTGTAGAATGTAGTCGAGTCGCGCTGACACGCTTTTCGCGCTTTTTACTCGTGCTCGCGACACGTTCCGCCGTCTGCGTCTTCCGGCGGAACGTTGGTACGCGTTTGAAAGAAAAATAGCTCGACAAGTACGCTTCCATTTCTAATTCTACGTTCGCGCGTGCGCGTTAACGCTTTATCGGGCTTTCACCGATCGTGACAAATGGAAATGTCGTCTCGTCGCATCGTCGACGAGGCAAAATCTCTTATTTCTTAGCCGAACGTTAAAATAACGTTACAATGTGTCATGTCGCAACAAGCTCAACGGTGGAATCGTGCTGCGAGCTGAATTAGCAAGGGAGAAAGGCGCGCGCGCGCGCGCGCGTTGCGACGCCGAGCCGTTTGTGATCGCGAGCGCGAGCGCGGGCTCCTCGAGAGACGCGGACTCCCCGTGCATACGCGGAACACGCGATCTGCCGGTTCTTGACTTACAAACACCGTGCCGATCAACGTGCCCCGCCTGCAGCTACACACTCCGAAATATTCCGAAGCGCATGCATGCCGCGCGTCCACGCCGCGTGGCCATTAAGTGCAATTACTTTAAATACGAGAGCGCGCATATCCGTTATGAAAATAGAAATAGGTGTGCATCTGAGAGAGAAAGAACGAAAGAGCGAGAGAGAGAGAAGAGAGAGAGAGAAAGGGGGAGGGGGGGGGGAGGAAAAAGAAAAG